GAACCTAAGATTATTGGGATCATGGTGGAACCTAAGATTATTGGGATCATGGTGGAACCTAAGATTATTGGGATCATGGTGGTATTCTTTGAGATGTCTTGAAATTGGTGTCTCAAGACGGTTCCTGTATTTGATGCTAGCTGTTTTTTACTTCTGTGTAAGTAATTCCATTTTTATACTATACATTAGATCTTCAGTTATCTCATTTTGGATGCACTTTATTATTGTACTTGCTATTGAGACCTGCAATATCAACAATCAAGAGAGAGACACAACTTAAGATCCCCAACGATTGCTGAATGCCTTTTTTTCAGTATAAAGTGTGAGTGACCCATTGGCACATAATAATACTCTATTTGGGTTCCACAGAGTTGCACTACGTTGTATTCTTATCTCCCCTAGCTGGATTCACCCTATATATTGTATGCAATTATCTCTCAGGCACAGGGGAGGAGTGTGTCCAACGGGGAAAGAGGCTTCAGAAGGTGCAGAGAAAAGTGGCGCTGCGGATGCCACTCCCGGGAGAGCGGCCCCTGGAGGAGTGGGTGGTGGAGCTAGAGAGGCTGGTCCAGAAGGAACTATGGCTGGATGACATGTGCCGGCCGTCACGGTCCATCCTTGCTCATGGATGGCTGAGCATGATAGCCCCGAGGGTGAGGACTATGATGGCCCTAGCCTGTTGTGGGAGGCCTTTGCAGTACCGGATTTCAGGAGTTCCGGAGGAGCTTGATTTTGGGACATATATAAGAGAGGCCATACATGAGCTGTTTACCGTTAACTAGGTGAGACAGGACGTGACTTTTCTGGTTACACGGGAGTGGGAGCTTGAGCAGGATTATACACATCTGTTTCACCGGATAATGAGGCATGGGATGGAGCTGATTGAAATTGCAACTCTGGGAGACTGGGCTGCGAACAGCTTACACTCCTGGCAATCGGCATACAGTCAAATTCCCCCCAAGAATGAGACGACACTTCACTTTGAGGGTTAAACAGGAACAACCCTGATTTATTCACACAACAGGCTTATAAAGGATTCTCCCATGCAAGGGAGGGATTTACAACAATTACACAATACACCAATCACACATGAGTTACCTCCCACAATGCCTCACAATCCCTCCTCTCTGCCCTGGAGATAATTGGGGAAGGAATCTAATTATCTCCAAGGACAGAGGTAAAACTCCATTACCCACATGGCAGACAAAAAGACAGTAAAAGACATAAAATTGCATACTGATACATTTAGTACATAAGACACACATTTCTACATATCCCCAGATAGCTTAGATCTGAGCGCATATTATTAGATGAATGGCACTCAGATCACATACATACAGTTTAAATGCCATGGAGCCAAAGTCTTTCACATAGTCCTTCGTTACACGAATGGGCTCCATGGCTTAGCTATCTGGGTTAACATATTCACATATCCCAAAGTACCGACTGAACCGGTGTTCGACACCAAGGGCACGAATAAGAACCAGGGGGCGGACGGCTCAGCTGTGTTGGCGCAAGGAAGTGTCCGTTTTCCGTTCCACAGTGTTAGTGCTGAGCACCGCTGGCCTTTCGGGACTTAAAATGGCCGCTGCCACGTGTTCGGCAAACGAACAAAGGCCACCCAGCGTTCATCAATTAAGCTGCGGTTAACCACAGCTTCTGGGCGGTCAATTGGCGGCACACTCCAGCTCCCCGGTGGTCCCCCGTTCGGTAGTTGGAATCTACCGAACACCCCGGCAGAAAGGCACGAATAAGCCTTTCTGCAGGGAAAATAAACGGTTTAACCTTAGGGCCATAGTCCAAAGGGAGCAGGCGAGCAACCAGGCTTCTCCAGTTCACAGTGGCGAGGTTGGTTTCGCCACACTACCTACTCCAGAAACAGGAGACCTCTTACACTGGTCCTGGGAAGGTCTCCAGTTGGCTGGTGGAGGTGGGACCTTACCGGGAGAGGAGATTGTCGGTCCCTCGTCCCATTAGCAGCGAGCAGCACTGGGAGTGGAGATGGTCGGTCCCACTACCCAACACCAGGCAGCGTTACTGGGAGTCTTGACAGGCGGTCCAACTCCTCAGCGGCAGTATGGTTCAAAGGGAGAGGAAACCACTAGTTCCTCTCCCCAGCGGCAGTGCCTGGTATCAGGAGGCAGGGGGAGTAGCGGTGGGTACAGATGGGACCGAGGTCTCTGCACCAACCCGACAGGGATGCTGGGCAGCCTTCCCAGATCCCCAACCGCAGCAGCAGTTTCAGGGGGTAGAGACAGTTGGTCTTTCTAACAGACAGCTGAGGACTGACTCAGCGGAAGAGTCTCTGCCCACAAGGCCGTGAAGCTTTTGACTCGGGAGTACAGGGATGCTGGGCAGTCGGCCTGGATCCCCAGCCCCCTAGTATGGGAGCCCAAGCCATTCTGTTTTTGTACCTTCAGCATAGCCAGTGCCTTGATATGGTGGCCTCTGTTTCTCTCCCCAATGGCGCTGTGTATCCTGGAGAGGGGAGAGTTGTGCCCATCCCCTCCAGCAACAACAGAAGGCTTCCAGAGGAGATTAAAACTGTTGCCTTGCCCAGCAAGCCAAGAGTTATACTTTGGAGCAGGTGGCAGAGAGCCCTCTGGATCACGGCCCTTTTTGAGAAAAGACACCAGACTAACACAGACCCAGAGCGATTGGAGGTCTGGGGTCTGGTTAGTCTCCCCAGGGAGGGGAAGATATGTGATGAACCGAACCTCGTCACGGGCTCCTGGAGAAGCCTGCTAGCCAGCCTCTTGCCCCAGGAAAATACACTGAAAAAGGCTTGGTTTGTGCAATTTGGCTAATATTGTTTGGGAACTGAACAGCCGCATGAAACAGAGACAGAGTGCTCGTTAAGCCCAAATGATACTTTGTAGCAATTTCCACTGCAGTGTTCTAAGTGTTCGTCTGGGTGGTCGTATTTCGTATGAATGAATTATTATATTTCGTACGAACGAGTTTTATTGCTGTGGAGCTCTGTTATACATTCAGTCACATTACTGGGAGTATTATTGCTGTGGGGCTCTGTTATACACTCAGACACAATACTGGGAGTATTATTGCTGTGGAGCTCTGTTATACACTCAGACATTACTGTGAGTATTATTGCTATGGAGCTCTGTTATACATTCAGTCACATTACTTGGAGTATTATTCCTGTGGAGCTCTGTTATACACTCAGACATTACTGGGAGTATTATTGCTGTGGAGCTCTGTTATACATTCAGTCACATTACTGGGAGTATTGTTGCTGTGGAGCTCTGTTATACACTCAGACATTACTGGGAGTATTATTGCTGTGGAGCTCTGTTATACATTCAGTCACATTACTGGGAGTATTGTTGCTGTGGAGCTCTGTTATACACTCAGACACAGTACTGGGAGTATTATTGCTGTGGAGCTCTGTTATACACTCAGACATTACTGGGAGTATTATTGCTATGGAGCTCTGTTATACATTCAGTCACATTACTGGAAGTATTATTGCTGTGGAGCTCTGTTATACACTCAGACACATTACTGGGAGTATTATTGATGTGGAGCTCTGTTACACACTCAGACACATTACTGGGAGTGTTATTGCTGTGGAGCTCTGTTATACACTCAGACACATTACTGGGAGTATTATTGCTGTGGGGCTATGTTATACATTCAGACACATTATTGGGAGTATTATTGCTGTGGAGCTCTGTTATACACTCAGACACATTACTGGGAGTATTATTGCTGTGGAGCTCTGTTATACACTCAGTCACATTACTGGGAGTATTGTTGCTGTGGATCTCTGTTATACACTCAGACACATTACTGGGAGTATTATTGCTGTGGAGCTCTGTTATACACTCAAGACATTGCTGGGTCATTGTGCTGTGGAGACTCTGTTATACCTCAGGCCATTACTGGGAGTATTATTGCTGTAGACTCTGTTACAGACACATTACTGGGATATTATTGCTGTGGAGCTCTGTTAGCCCATTCAGTCCCATTTTACTGGAGTATTGACCCACTGTGGGTTTCTGTTTATACAATCAGACACATTACTGGTGTGTACTGTGGAGCTCTATTGTACTCAGACTTTGATACTGGGATGTGTGGGCATGGGCTCTGTTACACACTCAGACACATTACTGGGGAGTGTTGTGCTGTGGAACTCTGTTATACACTCAGATTTTGTCTGGGATGATGTGCTGTGGGGACTCCTATTGTACATTCAGACCTTACAGTACACAGGATGTGTGCTGTGGGCTCTGTTGCACTCAGACATTACTGGGAGTGTTATTGCTGGAGCTCTGTTATACCTCAGACTTACATTACTGGGAGTATTATTGCTGTGGAGTTCTGTTATACACTCAGACACATTACTGAGATTATTATTACTGTGGAGCTCTGTTATACACTCAGACACATTACTGGGAGTATTAATGCTGTGGAGCTCTGTTATACACGCATACACATTACTGGGAGTGTTATTGCTGTGGAGCTCTGTTATACACTCAGACACATTACTGGGAGTATTAATGCTGTGGGGCTCTGTTATACATTCAGACACATTACTGGGAGTATTATTGCTGTGGAGCTCTGTTACACACTCAGACACATTACTGGGAGTGTTATTGCTGTGGAGCTCTGTTATACACTCAGACACATTACTGGGAGTATTATTATTGCTGTGGGCTCTGTTATACACTCAGACACATTACTGGGAGTATTATTACTGTGGAGCTCTGTTATACACTCAGACACATTACACAGGAGTATTATTGCTGTACAGGAGCTCTATTTATACCTCAGACTACATTACTGGGAGTATTGTGCTTTGTAGACTCTGTTATACAGCAGACACATTATAGATATTATTGCTGTCTATTTATACATTCAGTCACATTACTGGGAGTATTATTGCTGTGGAGTTCTGTTATACAATCAGACACATTACTGGGAGTATTATTACTGTGGAGCTCTGTTATACACTCAGACACAGTACTGGGAGTATTATTGCTGTGGAGCTCTGGTATACAGTCAGACACATTACAGGAAGTATTATTGCTGTGGAGCTCTGTTATACTGACACATTACTGGGAGTATTATTGCTGTGGAGCTCTGTTATACATTCAGTCACATTACTGGGAGTATTATTGCTGTGGAGTTCTGTTATACACTCAGACACATTACTGGGAGTATTATTGCTGTGGAGTTCTGTTATACACTCAGACACATTACTGGGAGTATTATTGCTTTGGAGCTCTGTTATACGCTCAGATACATTACTGGAAGTATTATGACTGTGGAGCTCTGTTATACACTCAGACACATTACTGGGAGTATTATTGCTGTGGAGTTCTGTTATACACTCAGACACATTACTGGGAGTATTATTGCTGTGGAGCTCTGTTATACGCTCAGATACATTACTGGGAGTATTATTAATGTGATGCTCTGTTATACACTCAGACACATTACTGGGAGTATTATTGCTGTGGAGTTCTGTTATACACTCAGACACATTACTGGGAGTATTATTGCTGTGGAGTTCTGTTATACACTCAGATACATTACTGGGAGTATTATAACCGTGGAGCTCTGTTATACACTCAGACACATTACTGGGAGTATTATTGCTGTGGAGTTCTGTTATACACTCAGACACATTACTGGGAGTATTATTGCTGTGGAGTTCTGTTATACACTCAGATACATTACTGGGAGTGTTATTGCTGTAGAGCTCTGTTATACAGACCCATTACTGGGAGTATAATTGCTGTGGAGCTCTGTTATACACTCAGACACATTACTGGGAGTATTATTGCTGTGGAGCTATGTTATACACTCTGACACATTACTGGGAGTATTATTGCTGTGGAGTTCTGTTATACACTCAGACACATTACTGGGAGTATTATTGCTGTGGAGTTCTGTTATACACTCAGACACATTACTGGGAGTATTATTGCTGTGGAGTTCTGTTATACAATCAGATACATTACTGGGAGTGTTATTGCTGTGGAGCTCTGTTATACACTCAGACACATTACTGGGAGTATTATTGCTGTGGAGCTCTGTTATACACTCAGACACATTACTGGGAGTATGATTGCTGTGGGGCTCTGTGATACACTCAGACACATTACTGGGAGTATAATTGCTGTGGAGCTCTGTTATACACTCAGACACATTACTGGGAGTATTATTGCTGTGGAGCTCTGTTATACACTCAGACACATTACTGGGAGTATTATTGCTGTGGAGCTCTGTTATACACTCAAGACACATTACTGGGAGTATTATTACTGTGGAGCTCTGTTATACACTCAGACACATTACTGGGAGTATTATTGCTGTGGAGCTCTGTTATACACCCAGACTCATTACTGGGAGTAGTATTGCTGTGGAGCTCTGTTATACACTCAGACACATTACTGGGAGTATTATTGCTCTGGAGCTCTGTTACACACTCAGACACATTACTGGGATTATTATTGCTCTGGAGCTCTGTTATACCCTCAGACACATTACTGGGAGTATTATTGCTGCTGAGCTCTGTTATACCCTCAGACACATTACTGGGAGTATTATTGCTGTGGAGCTCTGTTATACACTCAGACACATTACTGGGAGTATTATTGCTGTGGAGCTCTGTTATACACTCAGACACATTACTGGGAGTATTATTGCTGTGGAGCTCTGGTATACACTCAGACACATTACTGGGAGTATTATTGCTGTGGAGCTCTGTTATACACTCAGACACATTACTGGGAGTATTATTGCTGTGGAGCTCTGTTATACACTCAGACACATTACTGGGAGTATTATTGCCGTGGAGCTCTGTTATACACTCAGACACATTACTGGGAGTAGTATTGCCGTGGAGCTCTGTTATACACTCAGACACATTACTGGGAGTAGTATTGCCGTGGAGCTCTGTTATACACTCAGACACATTACTGGGAGTAGTATTGCTGTGGAGCTCTGTTATACACTCAGACACATTACTGGGAGTATTATTGATGTGGAGCTCTATTATACACTCAGACACATTACTGGGAGTATTATTGCAGTGGAGCTCTGTTATACACTCAGATACATTACTGGGAGTAGTATTGCTGTGGAGCTCTGTTATACACTCAGACACATTACTGGGAGTATTATTGCTGTGGAGCTCTGTTATAACACATTACTGGGAGTATTATTGCTGTGGAGCTCTGTTATACACTCAGACACATTACTGGGAGTATTATTGCTGTGGAGCTCTGTTATGCACTCAGACACATTACTGAGAGTATTATTGATGTGGAGCTCTGTTATACACTCAGACACATTACTGGGAGTATGATTGCTGTGGAGCTCTGTTATACACTCAGACACATTACTGGGAGTATTATTGCTGTGAAGCTCTGTTATACACTCAGACACATTACTGGGAGTATTATTGCTATGGAACTCTGTTATACACTCAGACACATTACTGGGTGTGTGCCATTGGAGCTCTGGCCCTTTTACTCAGACACATTACTGGAGTATTGTGCCGTGGAGCTCTGTTATACCTCAGACACACATTACTGGAATTATTATTGCCCGTGGAGCTCTGTTATACACTCAGACACATTACTGGGGAGTAGTATTGCTGTGGAGCTCTGTTATGCAGCTCAGACACATTACTGGGAGTATTATTGCCCGTGGAGCTCTGTTATACGCTCAGACATACATTACTGGGAGTATTATTGCATTAGACTTTCCTGATATACTGTCAGACACATTACACAAGTGTGTACTGATGGGGAGCTCTATTTATGCAGCTCAGACACATTACTGGGAGTATTATTGCTGTGGAGCTCTGTTATACACTCAGACACATTACTGGGAGTAGTATTGCTGTGGAGCTCTGTTATACACTCAGACACATTACTGGGAGTAGTATTGCTGTGGAGCTCTGTTATACACTCAGACACATTACTGGGAGTATTATTACCGTGGAGCTCTGTTATACACTCAGACACACCAAGAATACTGAGCTCCTACAAGAGAGGGACATTAGGATAGAAAATAGGGACACTTGGGAGATATGATGTTTTTCACAATACTCTGCAAGACATAATTTAAGGTGAGGATGGGACTATTTCAGTGCTGTGAAGAGAATCATGTAAAGGAACATTGCGAGATTTTATTATATTATTAGCCATATTTTGATGCAAATGAACACCAGCGCTACATGTACTGTAGTTGCTGTGATTAAAGCAATGCTAAGCTGGTATCTTGCTTTGTGAGAGGAATAACGGAAACGAGTTTCTCTGTAATTTGCTACCAACAAATAAAGGCGGCTACTTGGAAATACTCCCTACAACTAGAGCATAACTGGACTTTTACCGTCCATCGATGTGGACGCAGAATGCGGCGATAAAACATGGTCAATCTGGCGTCCATGCTGTGACCAATCTGATTATTATTATTATGGCAATTCTATAGAATCGATCCTTAAATTGGGAATTGGAGTGTATTCCAAACTGGACAGTAACATATGATGATTTTAGTGCTCAATATTACCTAATGCTAAAGTCACCACAAGGAATAGAAACCAATGTCTGATTTAAACAAATAAATGAAAAAAATGGCTTTGTTTAGCCCAAAATGGTCAATTCTCCTTCTTTCCAATGTATTGACAATGGCCTGATCACATTCTGTTAGTTTATATTTTATATTCCTAACACAGGATAACACAAACAGAATATAATGTGTGGCTCTGCAGCTGTCACTAGAACCAAGGACACAATGTAACACAGGGGCTGCATACAGGAAGTGATTGGCTGCATTCCAAGCCTCGATTTGGAGAACACGTGGAACGCAAACCAGGAAGTGTTTCCTGAACAATGTACCATGTGTATATCACAAACATCATCCACATGGTGACAGAGTGAGGTTAGTGAATTCTGATATATCTACCTCTGTGTATAATATGGGATCTGCATAGGATATAGTCTGTGTATTAGGAGGGGAGAGGTAGGTGTCCTGATGTCTGTGTATTAGGAGGAGGTGAGAGGTAGGTGTCCTGATGTCTGTGTATTAGGAGGAGGTGAGAGGTAGGTGTCCTGATGTCTGTGTATTAGGAGGGGGTGAGAGGTAGGTGTCCTGATGTCTGTGTATTAGGAGGAGGTGAGAGGTAGGTGTCCTGATGTCTGTGTATTAGGAGGAGGTGAGAGGTAGGTGTCCTGATGTCTGTGTATTAGGAGGAGGTGAGAGGTAGGTGTCCTGATGTCTGTGTATTAGGAGGAGGTGAGAGGTAGGTGTCCTGATGTCTGTGTATTAGGAGGAGGTGAGAGGTAGGTGTCCTGATGTCTGTGTATTAGGAGGGGGTGAGAGGTAGGTGTCCTGATGTCTGTGTATTAGGAGGAGGTGAGAGGTAGGTGTCCTGATGTCTGTGTATTAGGAGGAGGTGAGAGGTAGGTGTCCTGATGTCTGTGTATTAGGAGGGGGTGAGAGGTAGGTGTCCTGATGTCTGTGTATTAGGAGGAGGTGAGAGGTAGGTGTCCTGATGTCTGTGTATTAGGAGGAGGTGAGAGGTAGGTGTCCTGATGTCTGTGTATTAGGAGGAGGTGAGAGGTAGGTGTCCTGATGTCTGTGTATTAGGAGGAGGTGAGAGGTAGGTGTCCTGATGTCTGTGTATTAGGAGGAGGTGAGAGGTAGGTGTCCTGATGTCTGTGTATTAGGAGGGGGTGAGAGGTAGGTGTCCTGATGTCTGTGTATTAGGAGGAGGTGAGAGGTAGGTGTCCTGATGTCTGTGTATTAGGAGGAGGTGAGAGGTAGGTGTCCTGATGTCTGTGTATTAGGAGGAGGTGAGAGGTAGGTGTCCTGATGTCTGTGTATTAGGAGGAGGTGAGAGGTAGGTGTCCTGATGTCTGTGTATTAGGAGGAGGTGAGAGGTAGGTGTCCTGATGTCTGTGTATTAGGAGGAGGTGAGAGGTAGGTGTCCTGATGTCTGTGTATTAGGAGGAGGTGAGAGGTAGGTGTCCTGATGTCTGTGTATTAGAAGGAGGTGAGAGGTAGGTGTCCTGATGTCTGTGTATTAGGAGGAGGTGAGAGGTAGGTGTCCTGATGTCTGTGTATTAGGAGGAGGTGAGAGGTAGGTGTCCTGATGTCTGTGTATTAGGAGGAGGTGAGAGGTAGGTGTCCTGATGTCTGTGTATTAGGAGGAGGTGAGAGGTAGGTGTCCTGATGTCTGTGTATTAGGAGGAGGGGAGAGGTAGGTGTCCTGATGTCTGTGTATTAGGAGGATGTGAGAGGTTGGTGTCCTGATGTCTGTGTATTAGGAGGTGAGAGGTAGGTGTTCTGATGTCTGTGTATTAGGAGGAGGGGAGAGGTAGGTGTCCTGAAGTCTGTGTATTAGGAGAAGGTGAGAGGTAGGTGTCCTGAAGTCTGTGTATTAGGACGGGAGAGGTATGTGTCCTGATGTCTGTGTATTAGGAGAAGGTGAGAGGTAGGTGTCCTGATGTCTGTGTATTAGGAGGAGGTGAGAGGTTGGTGTCCTGATGTCTGTGGATTAGGAGGTGTCCTGATGTGTCTGTGTATTAGGAGTTGCGAGGTAGGTGTCCCTGATGTCTGTGTATTGGGAGGGAGGTGAGAGGTAGGTGTCCTGATGTCTGTGTATTGTTAGGAGGAGGTGAGAGGTAGGTGTCCTGATGTCTGTGTATAGGGAGGTGAGAGGTGGGTGTCCCTGATGTGTCTGTGTGTGTATTAGGAGGGTGAGAGGTAGGTGTCCCGATGTCTGTATATTGGGAGGGAGGTGGGAGGTAGGTGTCCTGATGTCTGTGTATTAGGAGGAGGTGAGAGGTAGGTGTCCTGATGTCTGTGTATTAGGAGGAGGTGAGAGGTAGGTGTCCTGATGTCTGTGTATTAGGAGGAGGGGAGAGGTAGGTGTCCTGATGTCTGTATATTAGGAGGAGGTGAGAGGTAGGTGTCCTGATGTCTGTGTATTAGGAGGAAGTTGATGGAATGTGTTTGATGACTGTGTGTTAGGTGTGGATCGTTGTACCTGTGAATGAATATTACGTTATTTGATGGGAAGTGCTGTTGCCCTTTTATTTTTCATGTTTTTTTATGTTTCTGTTTTTAAAGAATGGGTTAGACTTTTTTTTCCTGAGAAGCTGAGACATAAAATGGAACGAGAAAGAGGTAGTCGTGAGTGGGATTGGAGCTGCCCTCATACCCGTAGACGCCTTGAAGACCTATATTTTGGTGAGCGTGGATACATCAAGGCTGGCTCACAAGAAAGCAAAGAGTTCTGGTTATTTTTTGACCGATTCCAAAGGTTCCACAATCAATTGAAAAAAAACAAGATAAATAAAGACAGAGAATTCGAGGATGAAAAGAAGTCGAAGGTTATTGACCTTCCCAAAGAATATGACCCAAGGTATCGTATTAATGTGTCCATCGTCCTCAGCAGGGATGTGGAGAGAGCGCTTCATGGACACCATAGAGAAAAAGGACATAGGTCAAGAGATTGTGCAGATCTGCCTACAGAGAAACTGGCCGAGTTTAAGAAAGCAATCCTTCATTATTTGGACTTTACTCAGAAACAGAGCTTTGGGAAGCTGGCCAAGCTTCGGAAAGAAAGGTCAAACTTGCCAATCTTCCAGTACAGGGAGAAGATTATTCATATGGTGAGAGATCACCAAGTGGTGGTGGTGGCAGGAGACACCGGATGTGGAAAGTCCACTCAGGTACCACAGTACCTGTTAGCAGCTGGATTTGGGCACATAGCTTGCACTCAACCTCGTAGGATAGCTTGTATTTCGTTAGCGAAGAGAGTTGGTTTTGAAAGCCTCAATCAATATGGTTCAAAGGTGAGTGAATTTTTTAAATGGACGTTTTAATCTTAAATAATGTGACCTATAATGAGACATGTTTAATAGGTTATAGGGACATTGCCATGTAGGAATAAAGTGATGTAATGGAACATTAAGTGTCCTTACTGAAATAGTTTGTGATGATTAGTATGTGCTTTACTTTGTAGGTTGGCTACCAAATCCGTTTTGAAAGTAGCCGGTCTCCTGCTACGAAGATTGTTTTCTTGACTGAGGGCCTCCTCCTTCGCCAGATTCAAAAGGACTCAGAGGTGCCGCAGTACCAGGTCCTTATTGTAGATGAAGTTCATGAGCGACATCTTCACAGCGACTTTCTGTTGGGCGTCTTGCGCCGGATTCTGCCACTGCGACCTGATCTGAAGGTCATCCTAATGTCAGCTACCATCAACATTAAGCTCTTCTCTGGTTACTTTGACCAGGCTCCTGTCCTGCAAGTTCCAGGGAGACTTTTTCCTATACAGGTAGCTACTGAATTGAACGCGTCATTCTAAATGAAGCTGCTATATTTCTTGCTTAATGTGTATCTCTGTTCCAGGTGATCTACCAGCCAGTCCCTCAGGAAGAGGCAGCATCGAAAACCGAGAAGCTGGATCCAAGGCCGTTTCTGCGAGTGTTGCAGGCTATTGATCACAAGTATCCAGTTGACGAGCGAGGAGACCTTTTGATCTTTCTTAGTGGGGTGACTGAGATTAGCAGCGTGTTAGAAGCTGTGCAGGTCTACGCTACTCACACTCAGCGCTGGATTGTTCTCCCACTTCACAGCACTCTTTCCCTCGTTGAACAAGACAAGGTGTCTGCTGTTAAATTGTCATTTTCTTTCTATGTTTGTCTATACTCTGTCACTTCTTGGCTCCTATCATTTACCTTTACTTAAGACGTCTGCTTTCAGATTTCCGAGTTACTGTGTGTGGCTGTCTCACCTCTCCAGGCCTACCCTGTGTTTGGTTTTTCTCTCTCAAAGGGTCCCACAAATTTTTATTTTTAATGTCCCAGAGTGAGACCCAGATGAAATAGAAAGTTTAGGCAGCGTTATAGGACTTTTTGCAGGTACTGTATTTCTCCTCCCCAGGATTTCACATGGAGGGATCTCTATAATGTCAGTGCTGGGTCTCATTATTAAGTGTCTGTCTTGTGTTGCTGTGAAGAGCCTTGTAGCCTGGCTGAGAATATGGCACACAGAGGAGAAAGAGAGGGGAAGAACTCTGTCTGCGATCTCCCAATCCAGCGCGTTTCAGGTCACTGTTGCTGTGAAAAGCAATACGGTCCCTGCAATGTTACTGGTGTCCGTCATACGTTAAACACGTTAGTGCTTTCCATATGCAGGTTTCAATGGCAATAAACGTTGATCTAATTTACAGCAAAGGCTGCACTATTTATTGCATTCTGTACGGGCTGCACTATTTATTGCATACTGTACGGGCTGCACTATTTATTGCATACTGTACGGGCTGCATTATTGCATACTGTACGGGTGCTGTCTTCTCCAATGCATATGAGGTAGAGTTTAATTTTAATAAAGGTGTTTTTTAGAACGTATGTTGTTATGTTATATTACAGGTCGCTGGACTAATAATACTATTGAACAATGAGCCGCCGATATAAAGCCAAGCAGATAACTCTCAGAAAAAAAAAAAATATTAAGAACCATTGATATAGAATGTTTTAATAAAGTAATAAAATATATATGTTCTGTATGTCGTTGTAGGTGTTTGACTTAGCGCCACCTGGTGTCAGAAAATGTATAATTTCCACCAATATCGCGGAAACCTCTGTCACGATAGATGGGGTGAGATTTGTACTTGATTCAGGTGAGTACTGCAAAATGTTCCGCCTATATTTTCTGAAATGTGAACTAAATTTTTATATTTCGCACAATCTAACATAATAATCTGGAAAAAAAGGAATATTAAGAACAGCGCAAATGTTACTAGGTAGCAATGTAAACAGTGCCTGTTCTCTGAAAAGGAAGTGTTTACATTGAAAAGCCTTCAGGGACAGGCTATAGACACCAGAACCACAACATTAAGCTGTAGTGATCCTGGTGACTATCGTGTCCCTTTAAGAATTGTATTTTTGTTGTTGAATATAAAGCTATGTAAGTTTAAAAAAAATGAGGCTTCTAACTTTTTTAGCTGTATCCTAGATTCAAAGCAAATTTGTCAAGCCCTGCTGTATGTTAAAAAATATAACTATATCAAAATGTTAAATCGTTTTAAAAGATTATCCAAAATATTAAAGGACCACTATAGGCACCCAGACCACTTCAGCTTAATGAAGTGGTCTGGGTGCCAGGTCCAGCTAGGATTAACCCTTTTTTCTATAAACATAGCAGTTTCACAGAAAATGCTATGTTTATAAATGGGTTAATCCAGCCTCTAGTGGCTGTCTCATTGACAGCCGCTAGAGGGCTTCCGCGCTTCCGCGCTTCTCACTGTGATTTTGACAGTGAGAAGACGCCAGTGTCCATAGTAAAGCATTGTGAATGCTTTCCTATGGAGTGGCTGAATGCGCGCGCAGCTCTTGCTGCGCATTCAGCCGAAGAGGAGGCGGAGAGAAGGTGGAGAGGAGGCGGAGAGCTACCCGCCCGGCGCTGGAGAAAGAGGTAAACTATCTAGCCTGGCGGGTGGGGGCACCCTCAGGGCACTATAGTGCCAGGAAAATGAGTATGTTTTCCTGGCACTATAGTGGTCCTTTAAATCGAAGCCTATGTTTGGATAATCCTTTAAGATTATTTTTTTATTTTGTGTATTTTTTTGCACGGTATTCTGCGCATACCAGGAGTGGCCCAACTCCTCCTCTCTATGGCTTATTCACTAAATGCTGAATTATAGCGATCTGAACACTGAAATGCAAAATTAGACAAACTATGCTGATTTGCTAAATATTTCTAACTCAGCCTAATTACTTTAGCCTAAATTTTGTAGTTGGGTTTTTAGTTCAACTTTTCACTGATTAATGAATGAATAAACCCTTTTGATTTTCACAAGATTTAAGAGGTATTTATATTGCTGCTTTCTGAGTGGCAATCAGTCTGATGAAGCTGCTTGTGACTGAAACGTAATCACTTTTCCTGAGATGTGTCATTAATAAAACTGCCAATCCTGTGATTGGAAACCTCGGTTTGTGAAACTTGGAATGTGATGCAGTAATCTTGTTTGTCCTATTCTCGCTGCATTGGTAAAAGACAACCTAACAAACCTGTCTGATATGATGTATAACTTGGTGTTTTATAAACCCCTGAAGAGTTTTTGTCCAAGTGGGACTTATGCTGAATAATCAATTTAAGTTAATTAAAAGAACACTATAGTGTAGGAAATTCAAACATGTGTTCCTAAGGCTTTAGTGTTCTCCTCCCTATTTAGATTCAGGGCCTCATACATAAAATAATAAAATAAAAAAGACACTAGAGTTGTATTACAGGTAAACTGTGGGTTAAAACCACAGTGGCACTGCACCAAGAACGATTCACTGAGACGAAATGGTCTGGGTGCCTAGCATGTCTCTTTAAATGTTTTCGCTGGGATCATATTGAACATGCTCACCGTTCTGTGTGTTTTATTCCGCCCTTCAAAATATAATAACCTCCAAAGTCTGATTATAGGCAAAGTTAAGGAAATGAGCTTTGATCCGAAAGCGAAAATGCAGCGTCTGCAAGAATTCTGGATCAGCCGGGCAAGTGCAGAACAAAGAAAGGGCCGTGCTGGCCGGACAGGCCCTGGCGTGTGTTACAGGCTCTACGCTGAGTCCGATTATGATGCTTTTGCCCCGTATCCTGTTCCAGAAATTCAGAGAGTGGCCTTGGATGCTTTGGTTCTCCAGGTATTACGCTGAATTAGGGATGGGTAACCGTTAATGTTAGTGTACAGGCCACTTACCCTTCTAATTTAGTCAAACTAATGTTTATCTTTTATTACCCTCTGAAATTAATATAATGTTGTTCTTTGTAAACGACTGTCCAGCTGTGACTTTGTCTCTTTAATGAATGGTAGCTCTCAACCCTCATTTAGAGCTGCCATTTTGGCTAGCAGGTTCCATTCATACCAGTATCAATAAAAGGTGATCCATTGTTTTATCATAAGTGGAAATAAAAGAAATGGTGAGAGCACTCAAATAGAATTACAATAAAATTTGATTGTAATTCTATTTGAGTGCTCTCACCATTTCTTTTATTTCCACTTATGTCTATTGTAGTGGTGATTGTAGCACCAGTGTTTGTTCATTTATTTTTTCACCGTGTGTTTTATTGTTCATTGTTTTATCAGATGAAAAGTATGGACCTTGGGGATCCCCGCTCCTTTCCATTTATTGAACAACCCCCCATGTCAAGCATAGAAACCGCCATTTTGTATTTGAGAGATCAAGGAGCTTTAGATGCCAACGAGGAGCTGACGCCCATCGGGAAGCTGCTGGCCAAACTCCCTGTTGATGTCGTGATCGGTGAGCATCTCAATTGCCCTAAAATAAAATACCTGCAAGGAACATGTTTAGGAGCAATACATACGTGGCATCATTTTCATTTTAACTCCTTTCTCACATCTTTTCTTGAATGGGTTCTGCTGTGGCCTGCGTGTGGAACCATTTCAGCCAGGGATAGACTAGATTATTTTAGGTCCTTATTTTGCTTTACCAATATAAAGACGTGTTTTGATATGACAGACATCCTTAGTTAGACTATTTATTTATATATTTTTAACAAGTGAGTTAGAACCAAAACACCAAATCCGTTCTCAGGTGTGCATTGATTAATTAATGACTTCCCATTTTAAAGAGGATTTTTAATATTATCTTGGTTTTTCACTATATTTAACATATTGTGAGTTGTAAAATCCACACCTCTTTATCCTCCATCTGGAAGCCTCCATCTTGGCTCCTTGAGGGCGTATAGAGAGTAGGAGAAATGAAACATTGTTTCTATTTCTCCTCTTCATTTGCATTGTGTGCTCTGTCTGTGCCAGGGCAGAAATGGATTTAATTAGCTAGATCTTTAACATAAAATTAAAAGAATATTCAGTATCATATGAAAAATATTAGCATAAGATATTTGTGATTTTGATGTCTTATTCAGTAATTTCCAGAGAAGTGACACATTATTCAAATTTCTGTGTTGTAGGAAAGATGCTTATATTGGGGACACTTTTCAGCCTTTTGGAGCCAGTGCTGACTATTGCCTCGGCTCTTAGTGTGCAGTCTCCCTTCCTCCGCTCCGCCACCAACAATCCAGAGTGCGCCACTGCCCGGAAACCGCTGGAGAGTGACCAAGGAGACCCCTTCACTCTGCTTAATGTCTTCAATGAGTGGATTCAGGTTAGAATCTAAGGTTTATTGTTTTGACTGAGCTTCGAAACTGATACCTGTAAACCTTGATCCTAGAGCAGACCTATTAATTAATACACTGTGACCCTGGGAGGGACTGACCATTAAACATGTCGCTGTCATTAGTACGCTGTGACCCTGGGAGGGACTGACCATTAAACATGTCACTGTCATTAGTACACTGTGACCCTGGGAGGGACTGACCATTAAACATGTCACTGTCATTAGTACACTGTGACCCTGGGAGGGACCATTAAACCTGTCACTGTCATTCGTACACTGTGACCCCGAGAGGTACTGACCATTAAACATGTCACTGTCATTAGTACACTGTGACCCTGGGAGGGACTGACCATTAAACATGTCACTGTCATTAGTACACTGTGACCCTGGGAGGGACTGACCATTAAACATGTCACTGTCATTAGTACACTGTGACCCTGGGAGGGACTGACCATTAAACATGTCACTGTCATTAGTACACTGTGACCCTGGGAGGGACTGACCATTAAACATGTCACTGTCATTAGTACACTGTGACCCTGGGAGGGACTGACCATTAAACATGTCACTGTCATTAGTATACTGTGACCCTGGGAGGGACTGACCATTAAACATGTCACTGTCATTAGTACACTTTGCTTCCAGAATAGATCATCATGTTTCATGTGTATCTAGGTAAAATCCAGTCGAAGCAGTAACTCCAGGAAATGGTGTCGTCGGCGGGGACTGGAAGAGCAACGTTTGTACGAGATGGCCAACCTGCGGCGTCAGTTTAAGGTTGGTATTTGAGCAGTGTTTTGCAGTTTCTATGGTCCCCAAAATAATTCCATAAGGAACCACAGAATGAACATCTTTCTGCATATCATATTTCACAATTTTTTTCTAGGTTTTAAGTGCATTTGTCATATAAAAATTCCCCTGGTTTTGTCATATATTAAAGGGATGCTATAGTCACCAGAGCAACTACAGCTTATTGAATTTGTTCTGGTGAGTAGAAACCTTCAGGCTTTTTGCTGTAAACACTGTCTTTTCCGAGAAAATGCAGTGTTTACATTACAGCCTAGTGATAACTTCACTGGCCACTCCTCAGATGGTTGTTAGAGATCCTTCCTGGGTCATGGCAGCCTAAAATGCATCCAAACATTCCGTGTCTCCTCCCTCTGCATGCATCCTCATAGATATTCATTGATTTTTAGCCAGGGCTGTGTTTGAATTGTGCTGGCTCTGCCCCTGATCTGCCTCCTTGTCAGTCTCCGCCAATCCTTTGGGGAAGCATTGTGATTGGCTGAGATCACCACTTCTGATGATGCCACCCAAGCAGGCAGGCCAGCAGCAACAGACTGGAATAAATGTATGTTTTTACTATATTTAGGGGTACAAGGGGGCTAGGTGGTGTTTTTAACACTATAAGGTCAGGAATACATGTTTGTTTTTCTGACCCCACAGTGTTCCTTTAAAGTGTTTTCTACCAAAGTGTTTAATGGTAATTGATTTTACTTTCACTCCATATAAAGCACAAACCTTTATTTATTTTTTTTAAAATAAATTAAAAAGTACCACCCCCATTACAGCCCATTGCAGTTGTTTTGGTGGTAGTACGAAGTGGACGCTGACATGCTGTTCTGTGTCAGCTAACACTCCCAGCCTGTCCTTGCCAAACGAACATGGTGGAAATTGATATTACTTATATTAAACTGTAAATACTTTTGGCCAGTGTTTCAGCAAAACTCCAATTAGATTATTAAACTCTTCTTGTTTAGGGTTGTGATTCTAATTTAATTGTGTTACTGAGTAAAAATGTAACACTGTTTAAAGGTGGAAAGAAGTCTCATGTGCATTAAGAACCACAAATCTGTGATCTCTAATAATTTAAAAAATTTACCATTTTTGATTTACTTTAAACAAAGCATATTTAAAATTGATCAGGATTATGAAAGGGCTGGTATCGCTAATATTTTCACTGCCAGTTGCATAGAAACCATAGAAGGATTGTGTTAAAACGCCCAGCTTTGTGTTTGCCATGAGGTGGCATTGTCCACTATGACGTGTCTTTTGTGCCTCATTGGATCTTTTTAGGCGCTGCTGAAAGACCACTGGATGCTGGAAGAAAGCGGCGTTCCCACCAGAGATCGTCATAGCCGACAGCGACAGCACAGAGAACGCAAGGAGCTGCACCAACTGAAAAGGCAACACGAACGATCGGAGAAACAAAAACGCAAAGTGCTCAAACTGCAGGACCAGGATGGGGGATCTTCCAGTGATGGGGAGGAGCGGTCCCATGCTGATGGCACAGAAAGCGTGGACATTCAGGTAATTGTCTTGAATCCCGTGATGCCATTCACGATCTCTCAGGCACGTCGTGATATCTGTCAGCTGAAGGCTATAATCCTAGCTTGCCAGAACCCCCACTCCCAGAACTGAACGCTGATGTTTATTAGACCATGGGAGTCGTTCTGTAACACTCAATAATCCAATCGTTACTCTGCGGGCCTAACTTCCGTTATATATCTAATGTTTCCTTGCAGGATGTAAAGTTTAAGCTGCGGCACAATGTGGAGGAACTTTGTGCATCTAGTACCGGTCAGGAGCTTTCAGGTTCCCAGCTGTCCCTGCTCAAGCTTATTGTGTGTCATGGACTGTACCCCCAACTGGCAGTGCCCGACAGTTTCAACAGCTGCCGCAAAGACTCTGACCAGGTTAGAATTCATACCTTACAATACCTGCAGAGAGGTCTGAAAAAATAATGTCACTATCATTAGGTCACTGTGCTCCTGCATGGGACTGTCCCTTTAACCCATTAAACATGTCACTGTCATTAGGTCACTTTGCTCCTACATGGGACTTTCCCTTTAAACCATTACACATGTCACTGTCATTAGGTCACTTTGCTCCTACATGGGACTGTCCCTTTAACCGATTAATCATGTCACTGTCATTAGGTCACTTTGCTCCTAAATGGGACTGTCCCTTTAACCCATTAAACATATCACTGTCATTAGGTCACTTTGCTCCTACATGGGACTGTCCCTTTAACCATATCACTGTCATTAGGTCCCTTTGCTCCTACATGGGACTGTCCCTTTAACCCATTAACCATGTCACTGTCATTAGGTCCCTTTGCTCCTACATGGAACTGTCCCTTTAACCCATTAAACATGTCACTGTCATTAGGTCACTTTGCTCCTACATGGGACTGTCCCTTTAACCATATCACTGTCATTAGGTCCTTTTGCTCCTACATGGGACTGTCCCTTTAACCCATTAAACATGTCACTGTCATTAGGTCACTTTGTCCTACATGGAACTGTCCCTTTAACCCATTAAACATGTCACTGTCATTAGGTCACTTTGCTCCTACATGGGACTGTCCCTTTCACCCATTAAACATGTCGCTGTCATTAGGTCACTTTGCTCCTACATGGGACTGTCCCTTTCACCCATTAAACATGTCGCTGTCATTAGGTCACTGTGCTCCTACATGGGACTGTCCCTTTAACCCATTAAACATGTCGCCGTCATTAGGTCACTTTGCTCCTCTTTAACCCATTAAACATGTCTCTGTCATTAGGTCACTTTGCTCCTACATGGGACTGTCCCTTTAACCCATTAAACATGTCGCTGTCATTAGGTCGCTTTGCTCCTACTTGGGACTGTCCCTTTAACCCATTAATCATGTCGCTGTCATTAGGTCACTTTGCTCCTACATGGGACTGTCCCTTTAACCCATTAAACATGTCACTGTCATTAGGTCACTTTGCTCCTACATGGGACTGTCCCTTTAACCCATTAAACATGTCGCTGTCATTAGGTCGCTTTGCTCCTACATGGGACTGTCCCTTTAACCCATTAAACGTGTCACTGTCATTAGGTCACTTTGCTCCAACATTTTACTGTCCCTTTAACCCATTAAACATGTCACTGTCGTTAGGTCACTTTGCTCATACATGGGACTTTCTCTTTAACCCATTAAACATGTCACTGTCATTAGGTCACTTTGCTCCTATATGGGACTGTCCCTTTAACCCATTAAACGTGTCACTGTCATTAGGTCACTATGCACATTTTCAGGATTTGTATAAAAATGTAAACTTACTTTTTCCTATCTCCTTCCATAATTTTTAATAATCACAGAATTAGTTTACAGTTGTGTCCATGATTCTATCCCTTACTTTTCCATTAGGTTTTCCACACAAAGAGTAAACAAGGAATAGTTGTCCACCCCACCAGTGTCTTCTCCAGTAATCCTGAAATTCTTCATGTTGACAGCGGCCAAGAAGAAATGACTGTAGCAGGTAATATAACCCATACTGCCCCCCATACTGCCCTGAGCATGGCATGACTTGCTGATTGGAACGCTCCTTTACACATTTCCCTTTATTGTATTTTACAGAAGAGACCTCTGTAGACAAAGAAGGCAAAAAACTGAGTGAGTTTGGATTCTCCACTTCCTTTTATTTTATCTAGGCTTTTCTTTACATTGTTTATTGAGAGACAAAAAGTCTGACCTTCGATTAATAGTTCTGGTGGGTAAATGGAATAGGTAATTTAATGGTTATGTTGACATTAGTGATGGAAAAAAATTAAAACAGTGTTTGGAACAGTATGAGAACACGTGGTGACACCATGGAAGATGTGATCAGACATAGGGTGGGGACATACGGTGATGAGAACATGAACGTTGTATATGTATTGTGAGTTTTCTGGTAACCGCTTGTTAACATTGGTTAATACTGTTTGCAATTTCAGATCCTTTAGACTCCAGGAGGAAAGGACAGAGCACCAAGCATCAGATTGTGGGGTTTGTGTCCCTTCTGGAGACTAATAAGCCTTACCTAGTAAACTGCATGCGATTGCCAGCTCTGCAGGTCAGTACTGCTTTATATATCTAGATATGTAGGTATGTAGGTTTTGTATCTGTGTGCCACTAATTAGAAACAAGTGATTGTTCATCACCCATCAACTGCACAATATGCTCTTTATGTTAGTCATATGCATACTCTTCATCTAGATAAATATTATTAGATTATAACATACAGGACCCAGCAAACTCACTAAACACCAACATCGAGGCTCACAGAATGCAATAGTTTTTTTTTAAATAATGGGGGTTTAGTTACAGTACATGATCAAACATTGCATAAGCCACAACGTCAATGTACCCCATTCTTGGCAGGTCCTACTCTAACAACCTAATGTCTGCTCTTATGAGATTAAACCACTTCCTCCTGGGACGCTCTGCAGGTCAAGGCTAAATAGGACCAATACTTTCTAACATATCTTTCATATTATTTGTTTTTATATTGAAGACCTCTGATTTCTGGGAAGTTAAACATTTTACGCACAAGCCAGTTCTGTTTAAACCATTAAATGTCTGTCTATTTTACCCTGAGATTTCCTGTTTTTATTTTTTATTTTTACACAGTACCTGATCTAGTGAATTAACTCAAATCCACCCATTTCTATAATTTCACAGAATGTAAGCTGTATACCTTTTGTTGAATTGCGGCAGACTCAAATCTTGGTGGTAATGAGTTCTTACTTTGTCCCAGGGTTTCTTGCTCTTGTCTCGATCTTTGGATACGAGCGCTGACTGCTGCCGCATTGTGTGCGATGGTTGGATGGAGATAAACATGGTGGATCCTGAGGCGGCATTGCGTCTAATCTCCGAAGCTGTGCGTCTCAGGTTGGCCTGGGAGAAGCTTCTGAAATCGAGACTAGAAAAGACTTCCAGTGTAGAGGATTTTCAGAGAGGAGATGATCGGAGGAAGAAGAAAGAGATTGATCGCTTGGGCTACGATTTAGTGGATTACATGAGATCAGAGGTGTGTTGGACACTGTGGAATGATCTCACACACTTTTCTCTCTGTAACATGCTGCTGTCTCCGTCTCAATCAGGATTTGAGGGTGAAAGTTATCATGTGGCTAAAAATCACTGTAATTATGTAATTCCGCATTACTGCTATCTGGATACAAAAAATCATCATACACAGAAAGTTCCAGATCTGTCCATTAATGTTTTAATTCTAAATGTCACAAACAGATTGCGACATTTTAACCTCTTTGAGGTTGTTTTGTTTCTTGTACAGCATGACAAGGACTTGAAGGAGGCCCACATTCAATTTATCAAACTGGCTATATCGTCCATGGGGCATTAGCTGCCACCTTTGATGCTGTAAATTGCCAAATGGAAAATATTAGTCTCGGTATGTGGTAGGTGCGTTGACGTGACGTGATGATTTAATCCCCCTGCAGGTAGCTTACAGTATGAGAAGACTGGCCGCATTGGAGACCCAGAACCTGTACGTTGGACCCCAGACTGTGGTTTCCACTCCCGCCTTGCCTGGGGTGTTTGGTAATGTGGATATGAAGTTAGACCCTGTGAAAGGAGGCTATCGAGCCACCAGCTTCCTGACCTATAACTGTTTACTGGTAAGTGCATGGGAAACCAGGGTTCCTGTGACATCTCAGGTAGCATCACTGATGGGTAATTTCACACCTAGCAGTTCATGCAGCGTGCGCTGATGGGTAATTTCACACCTACCAGTATATGCAGTATGGCCTGATGGGTAATATCACACCTACTGGTACATACAGCATGGGTTGATGGGTAATATCACACCTACCAGTATATGCAGCATGGCCTGATGGGTAATATCTCACCTACCGGTACATGCAGCGTGCGCTGTGGGGTAATAACACACCTACCGGTACATGCAGCGTGGGCTGATGGGTAATATCACACCTACCGGCACATGCAGCATGGGCTGATGGGTAATTTCACACCTACCGGTACATGCAGCGTGGGCTGATGGATAATTTCACACCTACCGGTACATGCAGCGTGGGCTGATGGGTAATTTCACACCTTCCGACACATGCAGCATGGGCTGATGGGTAATTTCACACCTACAGTACAGTGTGATTTGATGGGCTTCTTTCTCTATATGTCATTCTAGAACTTTTTCTATTTTTATTATACAGAACGACACTGACTTTTACAGCGACTGTCTGCGTTCGTTCTGGACATGTCCCAACTGCGGCCTCTACATGCCATTCACGCCCATAGAGCGAATGAGTCACCAAAGCTCCTGCATTGAAGAGGGGAGCGTAGCGGGTATGTGTGTCGCATGTGATTGATTTTTTTGTATTTTCTCTCCCTCACAAAACTTTCCTAAGAGAGAGAAACAATTAAGATGACATTCTCCTTAATCTGCATCTGGCTTCCTTCTACTGCTTGTTCACATTGAGTTATGGTGTGCCCTGTGCATGCGCACCATGTCTGGTAGTAGAAATCTTAGAGAAACACAATATTGTGTCTTCAGCAGCCAATCTCTGTACGTTAACAGACACAAACATCAACGTTTCTAGTGAACCTCTGGAAAGTCAGTATTACAGCTCTCTGTCTTTAAACATTTTATACGTCTCCTGTAAAATTCAAATAATTCTGTATACAAACTTGCAAAATAGAAAATCATTGTAAAAACTTTGCAGACATGGGAATACACCCAAGGATCATATAACGTATGCAATTCCTAAATCTCGATCTCCGTGCTAGCTAATATGGGGAGTTCAGAGATCACAATATCCATGAAACGTTTGCTTTTTTTCACCCACAGAAAGTGAGGAGCAGAACAACGAAATGGCGGCTGTGACTGCTCTACACCGAAACTACCACTGCGACATCTGCCAGAAGGATCTGATGATGACCAGCACGGAAATCTTACGTCACAAGAAACAGCATTCGAGTGAAACAAACTCTTAAACGGTAAGTATGCAGCAGGAGCCAGAGTTTGTCAGCTTGCTCCGTTAATTAATTTTCTGACATGAAATCTGTCTTTTATTTTAGTTGTGTGCTATTCACAGTAAAAAAACAGGCGAAAATAAATGACTGATAAAATACATTGATACATTTACACGTGCTCAATAAAGTAGAATTCTGAAGGTATTTACAAACACAGCAATGTTCCCTTGTTACTCTCACTAATCTTACTTACTGATCTTAATGAATACAATCTGTTTATACAGAGCTACATGCTGCCCACAGATTGCTCTCGGTGTGGAGGTCACTATGATAAGCTTGTGGAAGAAAACATACTTTCATCAAATGCAGAACAATCACATACAGGATTATTAATCAAAGTGAGAATTGTCAGCAATCCAAAATTAATTTCAGATTTAAGGCCTTAGTAGCTGAGCTGGAAGCATTACTGACTTTTTACTGAATTTTTCCAGTAATAGTTTTGATAGTTTGGACTTAAATGTGAGATTCACTTTAACCCCTTAAGGACCAAACTTCTGGAATAAGTGTCCTTAAGGGGTTAAATTCCTAACAATTCTCCCTTTTATGAATAACCCTGTTAGTAAATAGGTTACTCCCTCCTATTTTAAGTTACTTTGTAAGAAACCTCTCACCTGCTTTGCCTTATACATGACATGTGTTCATTCTCTCAGGAATAATCTGTGCCCTGTAAAATGACCTGATCTCTAACCTGGACCTGTGAATAATCTGTCAAGGTCGCCAAACATTTTAAACATGAAGCGGAGTGTAAAAATGGCCATATATACCATACAGGGGGCTGTTACATATATAACATGCAGGGTTCTGTTACGTGTATTCATGATGACCATCAACTCTCTCCTCTTCCTGTCTCTCCTGTTTTGGGGCGTAATGGCTCAGTGCTTACCTGGTGAATGACAGCTGGGAGAAACTCTGTGCCCGCGTGTTTGAACACAGCAACATGTACTTTGATCAGTCGTGAGGTGGTAATTATCTCAACATCAAGAATGCTGATGACTTCCCTTACATGCCAACTGGCTGGCGGAAAAAGGTTTAATCGCTGGTTGTTGGAAACCGTAGAGTTTGGAGTAGAGGGGGCAAAAGGGGTAATACCCGTTCCTTCTCTGCTGGGATTGTCTACCAACTGAAGGATCTTAAAAATGGCCTGTTTGGGAACTGGAACGATGCCATTCAAGGTTCTTACTGCACCTGCTAAAAAGGACTCTGGGGAGAGGAGATTTCCTCCAGGTCATTAAACATTTACTGCTATACATGTCTCTGTGATATAATACTAAACTATATGGCACCTAGTATGATTATTTAATTGTTTGTATGTGAAGCAAAGTTTGTTAGTAAGTTTCAAAGGGGAATTTTAATGGCATAATTCAAGGGACACTCCAGGCTCCCACACACGTTAGGTGCACTGTGTAGGTTAGGTTACAGTTAGTTATACTGGGTGGGTTTATATTATTAAAGGGACACTCCAGGCTCCCACACACGTTAGATGCACTGTGTAGGTTAGGTTACAGTTAGTTATACTGGGTGGGTTTATATTATTAAAGGGACACTCCAGGCTCCCACACACGTTAGATGCACCGTGTAGGTTAGGTTACAGTTAGTTATACTGGGTGGGTTTATATTATTAAAGGGACACTCCAGGCTCCCACACACGCTAGGTGCACTGTGTAGGTTAGGTTACAGTTAGTTATACTGGGTGGGTTTATATTATTAAAGGGACACTCCAGGCTCCCACACACGTTAGGTGCACTGTGTATGTTAGGTTACAGTTCGTTATACTGGGTGGGTTTATATTACATGTAGAGACCATTATATTTTAATACCTTGTCTCAAGTTGTAGCGGAGAGGCAGTATAATCCACGATATCTCCGCTGGGTAACAGGAACAACAAAGGATAATCCAGGGAATCAGCATACAATAATCCAAACAGCACTGCAGTAACCCCTCTTTCCCAAGAACTAGACGACACAGGCTGGGAGTCAACTGAGGTCTTTTAATTCAGCTCCACAATTTATACAAGTCCCCATGAAAGGGGTTCCTGAGTCCCCTCCCAGGGGCATTCCCAGAGGGGACTACATGGGGGACTTACAGTACAGGGCATTTATCCCATCAGGCACTGCTGCACGAGAGGGATCCTCCCACTGGAATATACCGTTAAGTGGATTATCCCTCCATGCAGCAGAACTCACAATTCACCTTAAATTCAATAACTCTATGAATATCTGGTTCACTTAAACGAATGGACGTTCGGTAAATAGCTGGGGTCTGAGCGCATCATTCGTGAGATTACCGCTCAGATCCCAGCTAAAACAACCGAAAGCCGCACGAAAAACACATTCACTAACACATAGCCTTAAAATACCGATTACATATAGTGAAACAAAATACCGAATGTCCCGGACCTCCCAAACGGTCTTGAGGCTCAGCGGTGTTCGCGCCGTTGAGTAGCCGTTTTTAGTTCCACGCGCTCGATGACCAAACACCGCTGAGGGAACAAAGGATCCAAGAGGGCCGCCCGCCGCATGGTCGGTAGTCGAACGACGGCCACCCAGGAGAGCATTGTTGCAATCGGTTAATAGGCGCCACACGCCTTTAAGTGTGTGGGCTATTAAATGATATGTTGTTCGGTTCCCGAACGGCCCACAAAGGTGCCGTTCGTGAAACGAAAGGAATCCGCTATCTGCGTTCGGCAGATAGCCCAGGCAGGCAATACATTATTAACATTGCATTACATTACACGCTATAACACACAATAGGAACCCCATATCGGCAACCCTTAAAGGGACCGTACAAAATAATGTCCAAGTGGCTAGGTTTGCCACAATGCTCCCCCAGAACCAAGCCGGCATACACAGTCTGATCCCAACGGATCGGCTTGAGGATGTCCGGAGGAGTACTCACGAATCACGGCTCCAAGTCTGTTTGTCTAGACAACCCGTCGGCGTTGCCATTTTGCTTCCCAGGGCAGTAGTGGATGGTAAAGTCAAAAGGCTGCAGCGCCAAACTCCAGCGCAGCAGCCTGGCATTGTCTCCTGACACCCTGTTCAGCCACACCAACGGGTTGTGATCCGTGAGTAAAGTAAACGGTTGTCCGTATAAGTAGGGTTGCAACTTTTTGAGGGCCCACACCACAGCCAGGCACTCTTTTTCAAATTTCGGCGTAGCTTACTTCCCTGGGTGAAAGCTTTCGGCTCAGTACTGCTCCCAATGCAAACATAGAAGCATCTGTGTGGACGAGAAAGCGTTTAGTTGGATCAGGAGCAGAAAGTACAGGAGAGTTAACAATTGCCGTCTTGAGCTGTTGAAACGCCTGCTCACACTCTGGGGCCCAGACCACTAACTTAGGGAGATTCTTGCGGGTCAGGTCTGTGAGGGGTTTGGCAAGGGCGCTATAGTTGGCCACAAATTTCCGGTAGTACCCAGCGGTCCCTAAAAAGTCGAGCACTTGGGTCTTGGTGCGAGGGGTAGGCCATTGGGCGACTGCCTCTATTTTAGCGGGTTCGGGCTTCTGTTGCCCACTCCCTACCCGGTGCCCTAGGTACTGGACTTCCGCCATACCGATATGGCATTTGCTGGGCTTTAGGGTTAGTCCAGCTTCTCGGATTCGATCTAGGATGGCTCCTATGTGGACCAGATGTTCGTGCCAGGAGTGGCTGAATATGGCGATATCATCTAGATACGCTCAGGCATACTCCTGGAACCCATCTAATAATCTGTCTACCATTCTCTGAAAGGTAGCTGGGGCGTTTTTCATCCCGAATGGCATGACCTTAAACTGATACAGGCCAAACGGGGTGACAAAGGCCGACTTAGGAATGGCGTCCTCCGCTAACGGAATCTGCCAGTACCCTTTGCACAGGTCTTTTGTGTTTAGGTACTGGCCCCTGGCCATTTTGTCGAGGAGTTCGTCTATCCGAGGCATGGGATACGCATCGGAGGTCGTTTTATCATTGTGCCGTCGGTAGTCTACGCAGAAACAGGTCGTCCCGTCCCGTTTCGGCACCAGTACTACCGGGGAGGCCCAGGGGTTGTCCGAGTGCTCTATCACTCCTAACTGAATCATCTCCTCAATTTCCTTGCGCATATTTTCTTTGACTGCTTCTGGGGTGGCGCAGGGGAGTCTGGTCTAATGTTTCTACCTTATGGGTAGCCAAAGGGGTATAGCCTGGTAAATTGGAAAACGTGGCCTTCTTTTCCTGAAGCAACCTTTGTACCTGAGCCCGCTCTTGGGCATTTAATCGTTCTCCTAACTGTACCTCTCCCAGATCTCCGCTCTGGCCCTCTCGGGCTAAGAGATCGGGTAGCGGTAGGTTGTCAAAATCTTCCGTGGCAGGGGCACAGATTGCGGTGACCTCCTCAGTACGTTCGTGGTACGGCTTGAGCATGTTCACATGGAGCATGCGTTTGCCTCCCGTACCTGTAACCGGGCCGATTACATAGGTGGTGTCACAGATCTGTTCCACCACCTTGTATGGGCCCTGCCAGGAAGCCTGCAGCTTATCTTTGTGGACTGGTCGCAAGATTAGTACTTTTTGCCCCACCTGGAAGCTGCGGTCCCTGGCTCCCTTATCGTACCATCTGCGCTGTCGTTGCTGCGCTACCTGGAGATTGTCTCGGACGGTCTGGGTCAGCCTCTCCAGGCGTTCTCTGAACTCAAGCACATATGGTAAGATAGAGGTGCCATTAATGGTTTCGTCTCCCTCCCAGTGTTCCCGTATCAAGTCAAGAGGTCCCCTCACTCTCCTCCCAAATAATAATTCGAACAGAGAGAATCCGGTAGATTCTTGCGGCACTTCTAGATACGCGAACAGCAGGTGGGGTAAAAACCTCTCCCAGTCTTTTTGGGTGTCCATGAACGTGCGGATCATTTGTTTCAGGGTTCCGTTAAACCGTTCACAGAGCCCATTGGACTGGGGGTGATATGGGGAGTTCAGGATTTGCTGTAACTCACATATCTTCCAGAGCTGATGGGTCACTTCAGCAGTAAACTGGGTGCCTCTATCGGAGATAATCTCCCGGGGAAATCCTACCCGGGTGAATATTCTCATCAGGGCCTCGGCTACCGTTTCTGCGTGCACATTAGTTAAGGCCACGGCCTCGGGGTACCTGGTGGCATAATCCACCACGGTTAGGACATATTTCTTGCTGGAGGTGCTTGGTTTTGCGAGGGGACCTATGATGTCTACTGCCACACTACTGAAGGGTTCCTCAATGATGGGCAGAGACCGTAGTCGGGCTTTGTATCTGTCCCCTCTTTTGCCTACTGTAACGGACCGTTTTGCACAAAAGGGGAAAAAAACGCTTAGACGATAATCCCCTTTCAGAGACAGGCACAGCTACTGTA